ACCTTCAATGACTTTTATTGGACATTTATGTTTAATATCGTTTTCAAATAATAATATTTTTAATTTTCTTGGTGATTGACGTTAATAACTGGCCAATCACGATCATTACCACAAAGAATAGTTAATACCGTCATTAATCGGACATTTACATTATTAATAATTTTACTACATTTATCGTAATATATATTAAATTAAGCTAAATTAAAATTATTATTGTTGTTTATACCTAACTTTCCGTTCATTATACAAACAAGATATAGGCACAGACAGAGCTTCATTTGAGTATCCAAACCAAACATCTAATATAGATGGACGGAGATCCCGTTTGACAAAAATGCTTTCTTTTGTCCAATATAAGTAAATGGATGTTATGTAGACGAGAATGGGTTTCCGGGAATTTATTTGACTCCGGCCTACACATGTAAAGTGCTGTTAAGAAGAAGATTTTTGGCGCTCTTCGGACGGTTAGCCTTATTTTTAACTATACAGAATCGGCCTTCCATAAATTACGAACTTTTTTCCACGTTTTCAGGCTTTAAAACTGTAAAATTAAATAATTTTTGATTTTATATTATGGTTTTATTTTTAAATATCCAGAATTGACCTTTCAGAATATTCAGAGAATGGTGAAATGAAATATTTTTGGTATCAATATTGAAGAAATAGTAAAATGTTGTTTAACCAGAGTCCATTTCTGATATTCGCTGACAATTTCTGGCAATGTCAATTTACGGGTTCTATCTTACTATAAAAAATACAGGGTGTCCCAATGAAAAGTAGCCCATTTCCAGAGCTTATACCTTTTAAACAAATCGTAGAAACGTGCGGTTTTTGCTAATGTGTGTTATTTTGCCATAAGTTTTGCTCCAGTGACACAGAAATTATGTATTACCTATACAGGGTGTTTTTTAAAAATATCCTCTTTTAAATTCACCGTTACCAAATTTTATCAAATGGAAACGTGCTACTTTTCATTGGGATAGCCTGTATGTATGTAACCAGTTATGAAATGTCTTTTTTTTTTGGGTAACAAGTGCATATTTGCGGGATGAGCAGAGTGAGACTTCGTTACGTGTTACATACAAGATTTTTTAATTTTGACTTAATTATTTATAAAATTGTGTTTGGTAAAAAATGACTAACCATTAATATTTTGTACTTCCAATCAAATATTTTATAAAATGAATATTTTGAAAATTGTTGAGAAAAAAATGTTGCATTTATGGAATTTATTTATATGAATGAACACAAGTAGGTATTTCAAATATTTTTTAAAACAATATATTAATTAGTGTATGCTTTCGGTCACTTGAAGAATTTTAAATAAAATTGTCTATGTATGTAACCAATATTACGTTTGAATTGTTAGTTTCATAACTTATAGTCGAAGAGCTGGCGGGAAAATTCTGCAAGAGTTTTCTAAAGGCTAATTTTTCTACATATCATAGTATTGAGGGTGTACATGAGTCAGCACCCACTCGCAAAGTTAGGTACCGCTGCGGCACGCTTTGAAATATGTAGAACCAGCACATGCACTATAAGAGTTTTCTAATGGTTGATAATTGGTAATTAACTTCATTACAATTAATATGCAAATCCGAGAGGTAGTGGTCAGACCTCACAACTAAGTGACGCTGCAAGTCAGCAATGCGTCGAAGTTGTAGAAATTTCTACATCGTCGCAAGAGTTTTCTAAAGGCTGAAAATTTGTGGGCTACTTTATATTCATGTATAATTCATGAAAAAACAAGTCTCACTTCGATTTCATGTGACAGAACCAGTCAGCAGTCATCGGAAGTGAGCGTATTGAGCGCACTCGGATGCTGGTATTATCTGGGGTTTAATCATCATTGTTCCAATATTAATTGAATACTAATCTATTTCTCTCAATATTTAATCACTACATAATAAATAACCATAATAATCTATTTTTATTAGTGTTATTGGACCATAATGATTGATAATTGTAATCGATTATTCTCACGATATTGAAAATTCATAAAAAAATGTATAGTTATGCGAAATAAAATAATTCTTCACATTCGTTTAATGAGCTTTTTAATATTTCAAGTGGACGAGCTGCCCCTATTGAAATTTTGAACTTTTTATTACACATAGAAAAGGTTGTGACTATTAACAAGGTTGAAGAAATCCGTATGCATCGTGGTCTTTTCAAGTGTCTTCTTTCAATTGCAATTATTCAAAAAATTGATATAGAGAAATTGTTATTATTCCCACTAACGCCTGTACTCTTGTCTATATGTTATCTAGACGCTACAATTTGTAAAAACTGATCAGTTGGTTTTACTAAAAACATTGGAAAAAAAGATCGAAAGTGCAGAACCTAATTACCTAGATGGTACTGTCATTGATGGGTTTCTCTTGTATTTATTGAAAGATATACCTTTGACATTTGATAATATATCTAAACAAATATTACAAGCAAAATGCAAGAACAATTGCGATTATCTTTGATCGATACGAATCTCCCTCAATAAAGGATAGTAAACATACTCTTTGTGGTACAGTTGCGAATCTTGATTATGTTATCACAGAAAGAGAGCAGAATTGACCTAGAGATTTTGTAAAAGAACATCGAAACTTAAAATTCAAGGAAGCTTTGGTCAAGTTTTTATTAAATGATTGGGGAACAGATAAAATGGCGCCTTACACTGAAATTAAAACCATATAAGTAAATTTTGATTATTGCCTCAAATTTGAAGTTGTAGATAATAAAGTAAAAAAGATAATAGATGAAACTTTCAGTTGTCCATTACACGACGTAGCTGATACAAAAATTGCTAACCATGTTTGCAATATAACAGCAACAACAACAACTACTGATAAATCAAATGTGTGTATTAAATGCTCCGATACTGACATCCTTGTTATATTGCTTGCAAATTTCAAAAATGTAAACAATCTATGTAATGTTTGGATGGAAGTCGGCGTTGGAAATAATAAACGTCACATGGATGTAAGCAAATTATATTTGGAACTCGAAGAACCTCTTTCCCCTGCTTTACTAGGTTTACATGCATTAACTGGCTGTGACTATAATCCGGCATTTTTTAAAAAAAGGGAATAAACGTCCATTTAGTAATATGGAAGCCTCGGACGAATTCCAGCGAGCTTTTGCTGAGTAGAGCGATATCAATAGTTATGATTTTACGCTCGTATTCAATAAAATACAACAATTTGTTTGTAGTTTATATAGCTTGAAAAACATAAGCTCTGTGAATGAAGCTTGACTCGCAATATTCACAAAAATCTATACATTTAAAGACACGGATAATTTATTTAAAATATAGATGCTTCCAATTTACCACCATGCGAAACCGAACTCAAGAAACATGTTCAACGAGCTGCCTACATTTCAAATATTTGGAAAAATGCTAGTCAACCAACTTTGACGCAAATGTCAGCAACGGAAAATGGATGGCGAAATGTCGAGGGAAAATACGATTTCAATTGGTTTGAATGTCCAGTCCTCGTAAGAGACGTTGTTCTTCAGCTAGATGGAAATGAAGGTAAAATATTTCTATTCAGAATTATCAATAATAAAAATATCATTTATTTATTGATTTGGAGTCAAGAGTCTGAGAAACGGGCCGATATTAATAAATTGGATACAAATTGTTCTTTCACTGAAGAAAGCGATAGCGATTCTGATTACTTTTCTTGTATTGTAATAAAAAAATTTTTCGATTTAATATATTTGAATATATTAATTGAGTTGAAAATATTACATGCTACGAATTAATGTTCTCGGAAATGTAAATACGCTCCGAGCAGAAGTTCATTGGCTTGTCAGCGTAGGCACACGAAAATAAAATAAAATGAGATTCTACCTCTGAAGGAACAATTATATTTAATTTAAACGAATGTGAAGAATTATTTTATCACGCATAACTATACATTTTTTTTTATAAATTTTCAATATCGTGATAATAATCGAATACAATTATCATTATGGTCCAATAACACTGATAAAAATGGAATATTATGGTTATTTATTATTATGCAGTGATTAAATATCGATAGAAATAGATTAAGTATTTAATTAATATTGGAATAATGATGAAATTGGGAGTAAAATAAATTAAAACCCCAGATAACACCAGCATCCGCGTGCGCTCAACTCACTTCCGATGACTGCTGACTGGCTCTGTCACATGAAATCGAAGTCTGACTTATTTTTTTATCAATTATACATGAAAATAAAATAGCCCATAAATTTTCAGCCTTTAGAAAATTCTTGCGACGATGTATAAATTTCTACAACTTCGGCGGCTTGCTGACTTGCGGCGTCACTTAGTTGTGAGGTCTGGCCACTATTTCTTAGATTTGCATATTAAAATGAAGTTAATTACCAATTTTCAACCATTAGAAAACTCTTGTAGTGCATGTGCTAGTTCTACATAAATCAAAGCGTGCCACCGCCGAACGCAGCGCTACCTAACTTTGCGAGTGGGTGCTGACTCATGTACACCCTCAATACCATGGTATGTAGAAAAATTTGCCTTTAGAAAACTTTGCAGAATTTGCCCGCCAGCTTTTCGACTATTATAACTTACAGAGGTATAATATTTGTAATAATTTATATTTGAATCGGTTATTTTAAAACGGGCACATCTACTTAACACACAATTTTACAATAGAAAGGAAAAACATTTTTAAATTAAAATGGCGTGCACATATTAGTTATGTACATATTTTTATAAGTTTATTATTAAAAGAGAAAGCTACTTATAGTTATTTTTAATGGATGTTTGAACAATCTACCTAAATCATAAAAATATTTTTTTATTTATTTCATTTGTTCCCTTCTCCAAACTTATTCAGATACAACATTAAAAATAAAAATATGATAAATGATTTATTAAATAAATGCTTTTACATAATATTTAGTGAGTTAAGTAAAAATATTACAAGTCTTCTTTAGCCATCTCTTCGGAGACAACTGTTGGCCAGTCAAATATCATACTGGAAAATTAGTTT